ACTGCAGACTTAGTAAAGCTGGGAAATTTTGGAGCGCATTAAACAATGTGAAAAATCAGCAAAACTGGTTTGTCATGAGCAGCAGCCTCCCTGAAATAGGCTCTCATTTATTTTTCATTTCTTCTGCTTTCCAGTCTCTTCTCTTTGAAGCAGCTCTTGATTAGTTTCTTTTTAATTGCCACTTAATTGGGAAATAAAATTAGAACACTTATTTGATATGAGTGATGAGGTTTCTCTTTTCATTTCTGCTTTGATCTAGTTTTGAAAAACTAAAGGCTGAAGGGAGAGATTAAGAAAAAGAAACTAGAAAGATTTCTTCTTGCCAAGAGCTAGATGCAGCCATAAGCCATCAAATAAATATGGAAAGAACCACTCCTGGAGAATCTGAACAATAAGAAAAAAAGCAAGTAAGGATAGCTTATGGAATTCCTTTCAAAAAGACCTTTCTTTTCTCTTCAGTTTATTCATAAGGGACAGTAACTCCTAATTAGGAAGTGAGGAACACTTGTAAGAACCCATCCTAACCTGTCGCCACGGAAGGAGAGAACAGGATGGAAAGAAGACATCCCTTATCAAAGGGTTCTTGATCCATGGCTTACCAGCTTCTCAATGGTGTTGATGACATTGCAAAAATAAATTCCAAAAGAGTCCTAGGAACAAAATAATTTAAAGGTGCTTTCCAGTTCCAAACACCCAGATAAACTTTACCTACTTGGTACTGCAAAATTAAAACCTGCCAGCTGAGCACACTCTCCCTCTGGAAGCAGCCGGCAGCTTCCCTTCCCCACTTCCTCCCCCAGGCGTGATATCTTGGCCTTTCTCTCTCTCCTGAGCTCCACAGGCCCTCCTTCTGCCTCTGCAACTTGCTTCCTGAGCCCACGCAGCCCAGCTGGCTCACTTCTGCTACCTCTGTAACTTCTCTTACAATTTAAATTCCCGCATCTTAATTTTTTTCTTTGCCGAACTCAAGAACCAAGGTCCCATTTCTCTGGTAACAACTGGGGCCATTTCGCAGCCAACATAGCCAGTAACAAGATGGTTGGTCCCCATCACCTGTGGCAACCACCCCCACATTAACCCCCCTTCCCCAGAATGTCTCCTGCAGCTTGTTTTCCTGGAAGCACCCCAAGTGACTGATACAATCTTTGCCAGGAGAAGTCACAAGACAAATACCCCCAAAGACAGGTTTAAAAAAAAAAAATCTGCCAGCTGATTAAGGTTTATTCTTTACTGATAATTCTTGGAAAGGCTTTCACTAAAAACAAGCAAATTAAACCTTACAGATGAATCACGAACTGCAGGAGGATGAGGAGTAAAGATCATCTTGGTCTGACTCTCCTCTCTGTTGCTCAGGGTAGCTGACTATGTCAGGCAAGTACCTGGGGTGAAACTGTTGCCCTCCTTTCCTCTGTTCAGTGAATTTTTAAAGCAACAGCTGACAGAAAAATTGCAGGCAGATACATCTATACACACATGTTTTATAGTATGCATGTGTACATGTGTTCCTATGTACATATGAAACTTATACTCACCAAATGTTTAATTAGGGAAGAAACACATGACAAGAAAAGTCAAGAATTAAACTTATACATATAGGAACATAAGAAACCAGAACAACTGCATGAATGTAGCTCATTTCATTAGTGTAAAGCACTATGAACTCATCCTGAAAGAAAAGCCTAAGAGAATAAGGGTTAGTTTGAACTATCATTAACTAATTGCTTATTATACTTTAGAATCATTAGCATCAAAAGAAGATAGTCTCACTGAACTCTTATGTAATTTTTGAAAACATTTTAAATAACATAAGAAGATGTTCAAGAAGCCAAAAAGCAGTGGAAAACTTCCACAGTGGATTCAAGGATCCTTGATTTCTGTAGGTATTTCACAAAAGCTGTAGTAAGGTTTACAGTGAAACTTATTTGGGGAAAGAAGGTGTATAGGAAAAATCCCACATCCTTCCTGAAGAGAAATGAAACTCCACTAACACTGTGCTAAAAACTTTTAACATTGGCCCTTCATTCATCCAGCAAATACTCATTAATGCACACCAAGTACCAGGCATTTCAAAGACATGAACCCTGTTCTCAGCCACCCCAGGTGAGGCAGGGACTGGACACACACGTTACTTAACTAGTTATGCTAAAAGCTACAAAAAACACCCTATGTGGTAAGGGCAGGGAGGCAAATTGGGAAAAGTAGGGGATTTGAAGAAAAACTAGGAGGGAGGAGGAAGACTGTATTCCAGACTTTATCTCATTTAATCCCTATAACTAAAGGTTAAGTAACTTTCCCAAGGTCGTAAGATTATTAAGTCAGAACTAGCTTTGAACAAGGTTTGAATGACTCCAAAGTCTGCGCTTTTCCCACAGCGCCACACACCTTCTTCCCAAAACCGTTTACTCTGTCAGTGGAAAAATGTTGACTCTCCCTCAGGGTCTAAAGGCCAGAACTAGACTACCCTCTAGGCTGGGTCCTCTGTTTCTCACCTGCCACCTCCAAACTCAATTATTATAAAGACCTCTAGATTCAGAATGCTAATAAACTTAATTTGTTCACCCAGACCATAACCATACACAAAACAAAAGTCACCGAAAAAAGAAACACCTTCAAAGTTTCCTAGGGTTACCACTTTGTTGTACTTTAATAAAACAGTACTTTCTGCCAAGCAGTTTTGCAAAATGATTCAGAGATTATAGAGAACAAAACCCATTAAAGAGCTATAGATACTGGTCAGAGCAACAGCTTAGCAGAAAAAAAGAAAGCAACGACACATAGAGCAAAGAAACCGTACTTTCACTTCTGAAATGACCTTCGAATTCAACAGCTCTCATTTATGAGTGGGATCTCCATTCAGAAGGGCTGCACTTTTCCTTCTTTCAGTTTCTCCTTTCCTCACCCTTCCATGCTTAGGAATCTCAAACTTCAAAACTAGGTTTTTATCACATTAAATCTGTTTTGAGTTACAGTAAAACAACACAGTTTTATAAAATCAAATTTGACAAGCTTCCTTTTCCTCTACCTTTTGGTCAGAGCATCCTGCCAATATGCCAAGGTTGCCAGTTTAATTTCCGCCACAGCACACAGAAGAATGAACCAGTGAATGCATAAATAAGTGGGAAAACAAACTGATGTTTCTCTCTCTCTAAAATCAATAAATTAAAAAACAATTTTTTAAAAAAGAATATAAAAGATCTTTTAACCTAAGGGTTCATCACCAGTAGACTACAAACCTCTGTAATAATTCTATGTTCTCTCATCTCTACAAGATGGCAGGATTTTTTTAAAAGTTTATCCAGAGATCTCACCCTTCTACCTTACCTCCAGGAATACCAATAATACTGCAAATGACAAGATGGCTATGCAAATCAGACCACGAACTCAGCAGAAGTTATACATTCAAAGCAGTCGCTGCTGACTTTACCTTAAAAAAAAAAAAGTACATACACGCCCTGGCTGGTGTGGCTCAGTGGACTAGGAGTAGGTCTGCAAATCAAAGGGTTGCCAATTCAATTCCCAGTCAGGGCACATGCCTGGGTTGCAGGCCCAGTTCCCAGCTGGGGACATGGGAGAGGCAACCACATATTGGTGTTTCCCTCCCTCTCTTTCTCCTTCCCTTCCCCTCTCTCTAAAAATAAATAAATAAAATCTTTTTTAAAAAAAAACAAAAAACCCACATATGTAAATATATAAATAGGAAGAGTGTGCGCCAGCTCCAGCCACTGTAACAAAGTGAAGAAAGAGCAATGATAGGGTGTGGCTTTCAAGAGTGAAAAACTGATTTAGAAACAGCACTCAACACTCAAAACACTTGAAACATTTTTTCTGCAGAAGGAACAAATAGTTACTAGTAGGCAAGATCCTAAAGTATAGGAGATGCAGTGTTAAATCCACTTCCAAACACTACTCAAGAGGCATCATCATTCAATTTCTTGAAGCTTGAGGCTACTTCGCAAAGTTAACAGAACCAATATGTTGGAAGACCTAATTATATATTGTTCAGGAAACTTATGGATTATTTGGAGCAACAGGCACTGTATACATCAAAACATTATTATACAGTAATTATGCAGGGTTTATAAGGTGAGTTTATATTTTGAGATTCTATGGTAGCGACATTTTACAATATAATTATGGTTTGTATAAGCTGGCGAATTCCTCACTGAAGACGGACTGTAACGAAATGTTTTATTACTCATTTACTGCTGATCACGTTGTTCACACAACACCTCTATAAGTAACATTCCCTTTGAGCTGTACTGTTACATTGACCTGTGTTGTGCCATCTAAAACCATCATCCTACAGGCTCTTTCCCCAGGACGCGTCTTAAACGCAGAGAGAAGAACTTTTATATAATAAAAGTACTGAATGTCTCCGGCCCTTAATATATTAAGTACCCACCCCTGGTAAGTGACAGAGACAAAAACCAATCGCCGGGCAGGATCTCAACGTCTCAGCCAATAAGAATATGGGGGTGGGGTTACACTGAGCTCCCGGCGACTTCCCCGCACCCCGGAGACCCAGGGTGTGGGAGACTGGACAGGAATTGAACTCCGAGGATCTCGTTACCCCCGGTTGTAGCTGTTGTCCTCCTCGTTCTCGCAATCGCTGCAGTGCTCATGGCCGTTTCCGTTCCCTTCCATCATCTGCGGCCGCGGAGGGGCCGGCGACTTCACTGCTGTCTCACTCTCGTCCGCCATCTTCTGTTCCGAGGACCGGCCTCCAAACCTGGCTACATGAGGGGCTCCTATTGGACGAGGGGAACTGGCGCTATATTCTGGGTTTTGTAGTTTTGGTGGCGAAGGGAGCCGCAACGAGGTGCGGCTCATTCCCGGGAAACCGGAACAAAGTGAACTACAATACCCAGAAATTAAGAGGGGAGGCTGTCCTAGGTCGGGGGCCAGCAATACTCGGGAAGCCCTCTGCGTTCGGCCGCGCTTTGAGGGCTGAGCCTTCGCGACCCCCCGGGTCGTATAGCCTGCTGGGAATTGTAGTTCGATGCTCGTTTAGGGTTTCGGCCGTGGAGGCTCCTAAGTCCAAGCTTTGACCTCCGCCTACCCTTGCTAGTTCCCGGGCCATAGGGGAACCGTTATTGACTGCCGTTAAGGACTGTTATCATTCCCGGGTAAGTAAGAGAGCCTGAGACCCGCGGGCGCGACCCACCGGCAGCCTGAATGGCTCCTGGCCGCCTTCCTTCAGGCCTCACGAGAGACGCTGGGTTGTGGTGTGCCGAGCACTGATCCAGAGCCAGGAGGCTTGACTGCCCTTCTCTCTTCTCGGACCTCCAGGTACCGGTCCACGAGGCTCTTCCGCACACAGCGTCCCTTTCACTGACCGCAGCACCTCTCCACAGTTACTCTTAATTGAGCACTTACATACCAGACTCTGTGGTAAAGATTTTAGAACGTATTTAATCCTCTTAACAAGCCTAGAATGTGGGCTCCGTTCCCTTTTTTGCACAGGCGAAGAAGTGTGGCCCAGGTTAGTTGGTAAATTGCGGTCGCCTAGCTAGTAAGTGGCAAAATCAGTACATAAATCTTAATCTGTCTGCCTTTAGGCCTGCTTAATTCTCTTCCACCACACAAATTCCATTGTCTCATGCATCTACCTAAGGAAATTAGGTGTTAGAAGGTAATTGCAACGTCTTAATCTATTTTTAGCTTTGACTGAATGTTTCAAGCTCTTGGGTCTCATCCCTGTGATTGACTAATCATACCTGAGTTTTGTTTGGTTTTCTGGAAACTTTATTCAGATGAATAGTTTGCAAACCAGGGAAATGCAGCTTCTGCTGGAAATCGAAAGTGCGCTCTGATGCACGTGAGCTTTGAGGAGACAGCGTTCAGGTGGGGTTGTGGTGGGGGGCGAGCAGAGGGAACTTCTTAACGTCAGAGCACTCGTTGGCCAAAACGGGAAATGATCTTTGCTTTTGGGAAACTTTCACCACGGTAAGAAACTGCTCCTGTCTGACTCAGGGAAACAAAACAGAGCTCAGTGTTGCCAGCTCTTAGTTTTTATACCAGTGGCAAGAGCAGAAGTAAATGTGATCCAAGTCAGATAATCTCCAATTATTTATATTTGACTTTGGAAGGCAAGACACCTGCTCAGGCTGAGAGCTGTCACTTACACACATCTCTCCAGGGCCACCTTACCTGCAGCTGCCAGCGAGTGGAGGAGGTCAGAGATAATAACAGTAAAGCTTTACACGTGTTAGTTTCACCTGTTGTGGCTCACGTGACCTTGTGAAGTAGGTAGGGAAGGGGACTTGAAGAAAATTATGCTCACAAAAAAACCCCAAAAACCACAGTGATAATCTAGTCGCAGAACCAGCATCCACATCTGGTATCCGAATTCCCAGCCTTGTATTTTCTTTCTCACAGATACACAGAGGTTAAGTGAAGGCTAATAAAACCCGACGGAGGGAATGAAGGTGCTGGTTTCTGTGGACCCTGCCATTCTTGTTCAGGGCTTAAGACATTCTGCCTTGCATTCTACTGCAAACCAAGCAGTTTTTGCTCAGTGGAGAGCCTTTCCTGGGAGGTAGGCAGGCAGTGTGACCGTAACTGAGCTCAGAATGCAAACATACGCCCAAAATTCTGGAATCCAGCACCTCAGAGAAGTTCAGAATTAGAAGGGATCTAAGAGAGGCTCTTACTCCCTCTCTCTCAGGATTTTTCAAGTTAGAATCCTCACTTAGATTTTGTAGGATCCATGATTTCTCTATAATAAAATGTAAATTTTATGTTTTTAAAAATAAATCGAGTATATGTGACTTTTTTTTTTTAAATGACCACTTGATAAGTGAATATTATCATCTATGATTTTGGTGCCTAAGTTTTCTTTTGAGTTGACAGTCACAGTGCAATACAGAGTTTCCTAAATTTGGTCTATAAATGCTTTCCTGGGGTTCCACAAGTTCTCATATTTGTTCTTCTCCACTCCCTCATAAGAGACAGCCTTCCTCTTTCAGCCAGCTGTCATTGGTGGAAAGTTGGCCGAGTTCTGCTTTATGGGGTTATGTAGAAACATATAATCCTGTGTCCTTCTAGGTAGTTGTTACATCTTCTACAATTAATAATGGATTCTCTAAAATTCTTATTTTTCCCAAAGTAAACCTTCCCAGCTTTCTGAGCACCTCAGCACACGGGAATAGCAGGATTCTCCCATCTAGCTCTGCTGGCTCTGCTTACCCACCTGTTCTGGCAGGGGCATTATAAGAAGGAAGTGGGTAGGGTACAGCAGGGCCCAGAGGGCGACTGAGGGATATGCCTGTGAAATTCTGCAGATTCTGGAATATGCGCTTGGTGTAGATACTTCCATTATCCCTTCATGGTTGTTATTGCGGACAGTGGAATATAGTGGTTATGAGAACGGGCTTTCAGAGCCTGACTGCCTGGGTTCTAAATCTTGGCCCTGTCTTTGCCTCAAGAGTGACCTTAGGCAAGTCTTTTAACCTCTCTGAGCCCGATACTGTCATCTGTAAAATGAGACAGTGTATGCAAAACACTTCGTAAAGCATCTGGGACAGTCAATACCTATAAATTATTTCCCTTCCCAGGAACTCAGTATCACTACTGTTGATAATCAAAGAAAAACTTTCTCATAATGTCAGGAGCTAGAGCTGGAACAACGCAGTCCCCACTGGGCTCATTCCGTGAGTTGGTCAGCACACAGACGGACAGTTGCAGAATAGTGTATGGGAGAGTGGGGGGCACAGGATGTAGCAGAAGGGACCCAATGTGGGGAAGGGGGTCCTGGAGGAAAAGGCAACTGAGCTTTCATAGGAGAAGCAGACAAACTGGGGTGGATGTTCTAGGCTGAAGGTATGAAAGTCCATCTGCCTGAGAGTGAGGTGCTACAACAAGAATGGTGTGACTGGAGCTTAGAGTGTGAGGAGCATTTGGAAGTCGAGGCTGGCGGGTAGTCAGGAGTCAGACCATGAAGGGGTATGGATGCCATGCTGAGGAGTTTGGCCTGTGCCCAGGAGACTCAGGACCACTGATGATTGTTAGCTGGGGATAGATACGATCACATTTTTGTTGGAGAAAGTAAGTACTCTAGGGGGCCGACTGGATGTCCTAGGGAAAGAGGTTTTTGCCTCTGAAGAAGTACAGGGCTGGAAGGCTCAATCGTGAAATAAGGGATGAGGAGATGTCTTAGGCTGTTTCCTGTCTCCCCTGGAGCTCACTTTCTGGAAGGGTGCCCTTCCTCCCTGGGACATCCCCTGACCCACGAGCCTGGAGCGCAGTGGGTCCAGCCTTCTGCCTGATGCTGTGCTTTGTAAGAGAGCGTGCCACACATTCCCTGCCCAGAAGGCACTTGCCGTGAAATCCGGAAAACCAGGCTCACTTGAAAACAAGATATTGTAACAAGGCCTGACTGGATATGATGAAATGAGCTGGATAGATAAGTTCATTGAAATTGGAGGCAGGGCGAAGGGTGCAGCTCTGTGGGGTAGCGTTGTTAGGAAAGGCTTCCTGGAGAAAGCAGACTTTGAACATGGCCTTGGAGACAGCTTAAATCCTGGACCACGGCCCCCCCTGCACCCCCCGGTTATACTTTCTGAGGGCAGGCCTTGTGGACTCACTGCTGAGCTTAAGTCCCAGCTTTAGTTTTTGTAACCATTTTCCCCCACAAGACCCTACATTCTGTGAGGGCAAAGAACAGATTGGATTTTCCTCCCCCCTGTATCCTTTGGGCCAGCACACAGTAGGCCCTCAATATATGTTGGATTAATTAATGTATGAATGAGTAAATGAGTGAGTGGTGAGAAAGAAGGGATAAAGCCCTCAGGGTGCAGAAATGATACACGCAAAGGGTCGAGGCAGGAACACAGTATAGTCACCCCTTTTGTCTGTACCATGCTTTATTGCCCACAGAATGCACTAACACACGATCTTGTTTGATCCCTAACATCAACTGCCTTGTTTGACCCTGTACAATGAGCAGGGCAGGCGTTACAATGAGAAAACAATAAATTCAATGATTTGCCTAAAGTTTCACTGCTACTTAATATGAGGCCAGACTTGAACCCAGTGTTTTAGCAAAGTCTGGTGCAGTAACGGAGTTACCATCCTCCTTGGCCTTTCCCAAGGGGGAACGTGGCGAGACATATGGTGAGACATGTCTGGGGTGACCAGGGGCCAAGTTCCAGAAGGCCTTAAGTTTCATGCTAAAGAGTTTTATTTTCTAGTTAGTGACAACCTTTGGGAGTTTTATTCTTTTGAAGCTCTTTAATAAAGGATAAATATTAATGGTATTTGTGAGGTACGGTATAAGTTTAATTGCACATTAATATTTATTTAAAATAAACATCTGAAAAGTAAGTTTAATTTTAAGAACCAAGAGTCAAAGACCAGGAGTCAAAGAAGTCATCTCTCCGGATTCATCACACACAACTTGGGGCAGCACTGTATTCCAGGCATCACGCTAGAGGCTAAGGACACAGAGGTGACTGAGAGGCAGGTCACTGTCAGGATGAAGGGAGATCGTGTAAGCAGCTAGAAGCAGCGCGGAGTTCACTGTTGCCGTGCTGAGTGATGGGGGACATGTGTTGGCGCTGAAAAAGCCCTGATGGCAGCACCTCAAAACTGCAAAGGCAGAGCTTCGGTGCTGAGGCGGCGCCTGGGCAGCAGCCCCTGCAGCAGCCCCGCAGCCTTTCCTGGGGGACCGTCCCGTAGCCAGGTGCAGCTGCTGTTGACAGATTGGACCACAAGGATGCCGACCTTGAAGTCAAAACCCCACTCGTACACCAGTAGCTCACAGTGCTGTGAGGCATTGTCTGGGGAAGGCTGCGTCATCTGCGGGGGTTTCCTGACAGCGTGCCCCAGGAAGACCCCGATAACTGGGGGGCGGACAGGAGTGTCCCTATCCCTGCCATGGCCAGCCGTGGTTACTGATGGGAATCTGGGTATCCCTCTGATATGCCTGGAGTAGGGGAAAGATTCAGAACCACACAGCTAGGTTATCTGTAAGCCTTTTGATCCAGGAAGGGGGCTGAGCCGCCAGATCTGGTTCTGTGGGATAGGTATTAGGTCTGCATGACCTCATGGATCAGAACGAGGGAAGACCTAAGGAAGACTTTTCTGACAGGACTGGACTTCGAAGACGGCATGCAGCTGTCTCAAA